CGACTCCCCGCAGCCAGCACCCAGCAGGGCACGTGCATGCCCCATCCCGAGAGCAACCACTCAGACCGGACTCAGCCCGGCTCGGCCATGCAACATGCACTCGTTCCTGGATCGATGAGACAGTCAAATGACTGACGCGTAAAAGTGTGCGCCATTTTCGTTTTCTGGGAATTTGAACGAACAAAAAGGAGGTAAGAGTGCTGTAGAAGTCCTATCGCAGTCCGGGATCTCTAAACTGGAACACTGGCATACTTGCGTGTGAAGATATCGCTGCCTGTAGAAACCGAAAATAAAAAGAACACTTGTAGCATGGTAATCGATCATACCTCAGTCGTTGCAGTCTGACTTTGCTACCAGCAACATCGTTAGGTTTTCCATCATTTAACTGAATCTGAATTCAGACATTTGTAGGACTGTGATACTATGCAAGAAGCTAAGTGAAAGCTGATAAAAACAAACTCAGCAAAGTTTCTTATTGAGTGACATAAACCCATACAAGCCCACTCCTCATGACCTCCCTTCCTGTTTCCAATCCTAATCCCTACGCAGGGTCTTCTGAGTCCCTTTAAAGTCATCATTTCAGGCTTCTCCCCTCTCTCACGAGCCCTGACTTAATCCAGCATCCTGTCCCTTCCACCTAACTCAAACCCTGTCCCGCCATCCCAACTAAAGTTGAAGTTCCAGTCCAGTTTCACCTGTAACCCCACGTGGCTTACCATCAAAATCTCAATTCACACGTCAAAGCCGACCGAGCGGAATCCAATCGCGTTTTAATAACTGCCCCGTAGCTGTCCATCCTGGGCACGAATTCGGCCTTGGAGGCGTCCTGGGCAGCCATCGCTTTCTCTCGTCCAGGCCAGTCAGTACGCGTACAACTGAATCCCAGGATCGCCAGCGCCAATTTATCACCAAAAAGAATGAACGAGCCACAAAGGAACTGGCTGTGCCGGAGACCTGGTTGGACGCTGGGCAGGTCGCCTTTACCCGCCAACACTGGTGTATCTCACCAGTTGGATCATGCTCGCGTGTGGTCCCCCTCCCTCAAAATTTTAAGGGGATGCCCCCAGCCTACGTACAACTTAAACATTTCAAACTCAACCTTCAGGTATGCGTGGTCTTCGCGTACAGCCCCATGGAACTTCTTTGGCAGGAAAATCGCTAACTCGAGAACTAGGAAAGCTGCCCCCTCCCCTTTCGTTATCACGTATGAAGAATCAGCATGAAGGCTTCTAGCTGAATCTGACAGGGACCGAGACGCACGATGGCGATCATTTCAGGCGTTTCGTTCGCCGAGTTCAATTTTACAGCGCGAGCAGTGACACCGCCTGGGTTACTGCTGACGGCGTCTTGTGCGCCAGCTGCTTAAACTGGTCTCTCCGCGGGCAGAGTTCGGAAGCGGGAACCGTGCAGACCTGTCCTGTATATATTCTGTGTGTACGTAGTTTATGTCTGTGTGTATATATGTGCGAGCAGAGAAGGGATGGCGGTTTCGACTCGCATGACACTTCGAAATTATGTCACTGATACGCGACGATGATCTGGGGCCGTTTCGGAGCGACTGTTGTGTTTAAGCACGAGGAGACTTGCAAAATAAGTGACAAACTGAGGAAACGTGCATTGCGATAACTCAGAGTGCTACAAAAAAACTTTACAAGAA